ATAAATACTTAAGATGTAACTCTACTTTGAATAATGAAAAAGAACGACTGCTCGCTCTCGTTGATGTAGGCACATTGTCGAACCATGTAAATCTCTGTGTGTTATTTTCTCCTGCTTTCTTAATTGTTTGATTACTTACTATTCACCATAATTGCAGCACGATCACAACAAATTCCAAGCTGCGGGGCTAAGACACCTCTCCTGAAAACTGGAACAGATCTAGACGAGGAGGCATAGGGACTGACATTGTATTACTGTTCAAATTAAGAAATTGACATTAAGTACAAGTTTAATGTTAATAGACCGGTGCAGAATTTGTACTGCCTATAATTTGTAAATGTGAAATCATTTCTAATGGATAGAATTGATATTGATATTGATATTAGGTTTAGTGTTGTGGAGGATAAGAAAGACATAGTTGTATATTATAGGAGGGTAAAGGTGAAAAAGAAAAGGTTTTTCAAGTATATTGATATTTTAAATTAGTATAGATTATAAGATTTGTATTTTGTATTCTAAAAAATTAAAATTTTTACATTACATCCTCAATGTATCAAAAGCGTTGTAATGTGTCTTTTTTGTTAATTTTTCGTTAGTAACAAAGAGTTGACTTTTGACAGAAAAAATAACGAAAATTAACATAAGAGTCACATTATAATACTTTTTGATAGTGCTCAAAATCAACTGACCCAATTGCAAAACAATCTGAGATATGGCCCAGAGAGAATGTGAATGTGCCTATGTGACAAAAAGCGCGCTAAGCATTGAAGAAGAGACAAAGACAATAATATAAGTGATTTACCTCAGTCGAATGACCAATGTCACATCCAATATAAGGGAGATTCTTGCTTTTTGGGAATTGTATTGTTTGAGAAAGAAGATTGTTGATACAAGAGATTTGACTAGAAGCCTTTCACAGAGTGTTTTCTAGGTTACTGCTGGACGATCTTTTTTTCATACATCTTTTTACACAGTGGTATCGTTTGTTATTTATATATCTCGTCGTTAGGGTTTCGTGGTGGTTCCTTTCTTGGCTGATTCTATAGTCCCCTCCTTATTTGTCCCGTTGCTAGACCTGCCATCTTGACGCTTTCTTGTGCCCATATGCTTGAACGGAATATGTGAGTCATCTCCACTAACAATGAATATTCGTTTGTTAAGAATGTCAAGTATCATTCCCTTGTCTTTTGTCCACGTGTCGCAATATGACCATTAGTGATTTGTTTGTTACTGAGCTCCCAACTTTCAAGTGGGTATCTGTACTAAGTTTGTTGATGCCAAGTTGACATCTATTCCAAATTGGATTATTGTGGGCTTCCATAGAACTGGATTGTGGTCCATCTTTGGGCCCAGTGAATGCTACCTAGATGAGATGCTTGGGTTGTCTCACAGGAGTAAGAATAACAGTAGATCTGGGGAAAACAGGTATTCGTCCAAACTCACTTTGTTTGGATCGGAGATGAACTATACGTATTGGACGGTGGACATATACGGGGATACCCGTATAACCCCGTACGGGGATGAAGGTAGGGATGGACTTACCCTTACCCTTACCCTCGCCCCACCCCCACTACCCGTTATATATATATATATATATATATATATATATATATATATATATATATATATATATATATATATATATATATATATATATACTAGTCATAACCAGTGCCTAAACGCACGATAAAATATAAAATTTAAGCGTCCAAAAATCGAACCAAATATATTAAATTTTTTCAAAATATATTAACTATTAAATTATTAGATGTATAATAAAAATGAGTGATGTGATATTTTTAGGGAAAAAATATATAAATAATTAAATATGTGATAGAAATGAGTGATGTGATTTGACGTTTGAATCTGACAAAGGGATGATGGGTGAGATAAGTGATTGGTGATGGTCTTGAGAGGGAAAATATGACTGGGATAAAATTCAAACACACTTATGTTTTATTATATAGATATATACTCTCAAGTCCTAACTAAACATATTTACTGTAACTACATATGGTAATCAAACTAGCAAGTGACATTGTTATGTGGTAATCTTATCAACTTTTTTCCCTGATTGTTTTTTTTTCTATTTATGCGCACTGATTGAAATTGTTAGGAGTTTGGATTGAACATACTCTAAAATAATATAGGAGAGAGTAAGATAGTTTTGAATTTCATCGTGGGTAGAAATATTCTCAATGGAGGTTGATGAGTTTTTTTGTTAGAGTGAATTAAAAAATGAGGAGAATTATTGAATTAGCAAAATTTTAATTTTTCATCTTTTAACACTTTATGGCTGTAATAACAAAAATTCTTTTATGTAATGTTATCATTTTCTTAGTTCAATTTTATGTTCCTTTTTTTCCTTTCTCTCTAATAGTTCTGTTTCTCTTTTTGTGGTCCAATGATACTTTAAATAGAATACTATATTGTTTTGGCTTTTATATTTTGTAATTTATATTATGTTGTGTTAGATTATGTTAAATTATTTAGAATGTTGTTAGATTATCTAAAATATTAAATTTATTTAAAATTTTGGGTTATGTTACTTGAGTTGGGGCTTAGGTTTAGGCGGGTATGGGAGAAGCGGGGACGAGGACGGGGACGGGGATTAAAAATTTACCTGCGTACAGGGATGGAGATGAAAACTATACCCGTTAACAGGGATGAACCAGGAATGGACAAAAAATTTTTAAGCGAGTACGAGGATGAAGACTACACTCCCCACCCCCACTTTGGTCCACTGACATCCCTACACGTGAGTCCAAAGAGGTTTTGAGCTTTGTAGGGTGGCCAGACATAAAATCCATTACCATCACTTTTGATATATTAAGAATACAATGGGAAAAAAATTAATTTTTTAAAGTATAAAGTGTGAAAAAATCCTTTGCACACCATTGAACTCTTCAGAATAAGATCCCATTTAATACATTTTTTCCTTTTTTTTTGGTAAAACATATGTCTTGAATTCAAGTATCACTCAATGTATTTAAGTAGCCCCACACTGACTAACGATAGATAATATGTCAAGAAAGAAAATAATGAAAAAATATTAGACGAGATCTCGATTTACCCATTGCACCCTAGTTGGATTTGATTGCAATAATCTCTATTTCCAAGTTTTTCTATTTTTTACTATTTCAAACACTGATCACTAATTAATTTTTTTTTTGATGTGTTTTTTTTTTTTTTTAGGGGGGGAGGCATAGCGGTGAGCTCCATTGGAAATGATTCAAACACAAAACGAAGACATTCAAATTTCCTAGTATTGCCCTTGTAGAGTAAAAATGGGGAATTTGGGAATTAGTTGTTGGACTGATAATCGAATTGAGTTATTCGGACTTGTTCACGTTCAGCTTTTTTTAGACTTGGTTTGAACTCAATTTTTAGAACTAATCTTAAACAATTTTTTAGGCTCAACTAAAGTTCACAAAGCTAGACTCATTTATATGTAAAATAATCGAAATACTTAAGCTCGACTCGTTTTAAACTCAATTTATTTTCGCTTTAAAATTTTTTTTCAGCTCGTTTAAAAAAATAAGTTCAACAAATTTAACTCGATTATCCACCCTAATTAGTAGTGTCTTTTGCCATTGCAACTTGCCCCATTAATATCATATGATTATTCATAACTTTTGTCGTGCAGGAACAATCGAACAATTTTTTTCGTTTATAAGTGGACCCGAATAAATCCAATCTATTCCTAAAGAAATAAAGGATGGCAATTGTTAAGCCAATGGCTTGTTTGTTGCACGAGAAAATATTCGGTGCTTATAAATGATAATTTTCCAATTAATTATTGTCATTTATAAAGTTATAGAATTTTTTTTTTATTAAATATTAACTTGTAGATTTGACTAAATAAGTGTTATGATAATTTTTCATTGAATTGCATACACCATATGGAACTCCTGTGCCTCATTACAAGCACTTGATATTTTCTAGGAGAATCTAGAAGTAGATACAATAATTTAGGTTTAATTGAGTTAAACTACATTAACAAAACTTATTTGGCTTTAAATGTATTTTTTTTTTTGAAAAACAGACTAAAATGTCATTTATTTTTACATTACTCTCTCTCTCTCTCTCTCTGAATTACTCTATCATTCTCTCTTCACTATTTTCTCTCTCTCTTTCTCTCTCATACATTGATAATTTATTTTTTTCAAATTTGTAAAAATTTAATTTTTTAATCTCTCTCACACTCTCCCCCTATTTTTCTCATAGTTACTCTTTTTCTTTTTATTCTCTCTTTCTCTCTCCTTATAGAAATGTTATAACAATACAATTACATCAATTAGTTACAATTATTTTATAATACACCAAACAGTTATTCATGTATTCTAATAAACTAAATAGTTACACAAAACAATTATACGAAATTGTAACACCAACCTAATTTATCATTTAGTTGTTTACATAAATTAAAGAGTTATATCATTTAATATCACAATATAGTTACATCAATTATATACACCAAATTGAGTTTATCAATATACAAAAGACTATACCATTATACCAAATTTGGTATATATAATTGGTGTGATCATTTTGTAATATTAAATGGTACAATTTTTTGGTTTATATAAACAATTAAATGATAAATTGGGTTGGTGTACCTGATTAGTATAATTGTATTGTTGTAATATTAATATAAAGAGAGAGAATAAGGAGACAGTAACAATGAGAAAAAATAGGGAGAGAAATAGAGAAAAATAGAGGAAGAGATGAAAAAATTAAATCAAATCAAATCTTTACATATTTGAAAAGAAAATAAATTATCAATTGGAGATAGAGAGAAAAATAGGGGGAGAGAGAGATGAAGAGAATAAAAATTATGCATAATTTAAGGAAGGGTAAATAAGTAAAAAAATTTAAATATCGTTTAAATTTTATACCTAATCACAAATGTTTTATTAAAATTAAACTTAATATAATAAAATAATTATCCATACACTTCTTAAATAAATTTTAAAAAATGTAACCAAACAAAAAAAACCTTATTTTCTAGCGACGTAACTTGAACAGGTCAATCCGAACATAACCTGAACCCAAAATCATGTATTATATTTATATAAAAACTAAATACATATATTTATAATTATTATTATTTTAAAAAGGAGTGAAACATGATTTATAAGAATTATAGATGATAAAATAAATTTAAACAACCGATATGGAATATGTAAAAAACGCAAAAGAAAAACATAAATTTGTCATCTTAATCGGATAGACAACTCAAATGACATCTCTCATATATAGAAAAGGTTCGTTTTTACACCTTTAATAAGTTGTCTTGATGCATTTCATGTTATTAACCCATGAATGCCTATGTAATCTATAAAATAAAATAGAACGAAGTTTGAAATTCAAAAGACAAAGAGTGGTCCAGATTATTTTGAGATAAAACATAAACAAATCTAATAGACAATGTAATCCCAATATAAAAAATGGTTCAGATTATTTCAAAAATTTTAATCTAACGATATACAGTTAGTCCTGAATTTTGTTTTTCCGCCCAATAAGATTTCCTCACTAACGCCTTTCTCTCTCCCAATCTCTCACGACTCATCTCTCTCCCAACTCTGGACTTCTATTGCTGATTTACCTCTTCTCACTCATACCATGTCTCTCTTCCTCTCTCAGTCGCGCCTCGGGTTTGGCTCCTTTGCGGTAAGGGGTTTATCGCATGTCATGCAAACGACACCAATTTTTGGTTTTTTTTACAATTTTTTTTTTAACAACTCTTGCCAAAAACGACGTCGTTTTTGGTCCATCAAGTCCTTCAACTTCTTCATACTGTGGCTGCCTCCTCTTCATTTGAAATCCTATCTACTTCTTCGTCTTCAAGCCCAAGGACCCAAAAATTGCCATCGAAGCCGTCCAATTCCCAACTTTCTCCATCCAAAACGGCACCGTCAACTTCACATTCTTCCAATTCGTCTCCGTCACGAACCCCAACCGCGACGAGTTCACCCATTACGACAGCTCAGTCCAGCTTGCCTACTCCGGCTAGCCGGTGGGTTTTGTTTTTATCCTTATTTACAATTACCCTTTAGACATTATCATCAGAATCTTGATAAACAGTGAATATAGGACCAGACCCAATACCCCAAAACTCTGAATCCTCCTTGTACTGGTCAACCCAACTCTCTAATTTATTCCACAAAGCAGACTCTCCCAAAACCTTTGATTTTGATCCCTTTACATTATCAGAACTCGCGCTATTCTCCCGTATATTATGATTAGCTGAATTTGATTGAAAACTATTGATGTCATCAAAATGATGAACTGGGTTTCGAAAATCCGGACTTGGGTCGTTAGTTTGAGGATTGTGACGCACCTGCTGTCGTTCTTCTGGTTGTTTATTGAGTTTTTTTCTCAGAGAGTTTCGACGGGTTGTGGACCGGCCAAAATGAGCAGAAATTTGGAATTTTCTGGAACTAGAGAGGCGTAGATATAGTGACAATGGTGACTGTAGAGGCAATTTGGATTTTCTTACCCCATGCCGTGGAGGGAAATTTAGGAGAGAATATTAGAATCCAAGAGAGAATTTCAGGGCTGGTAGGGATTTTGGGGTTGAGGACCTCCATAGTTGCCGACGGAATTCACACGGAGAGAGAGCAGGCTTCGGTGCAAAGTCAAAGGATTTAAAGGACCAAAAAACGACGTCGTTTTTGGCAATAGCTGTTAAAAAAAATTATAAAAAACACACAAAACGGTGCCGTTTTATTAAACCGCATGACATGCGGTAAACCCCTTAACGTAGAGGAGCCAGACCCGTCACACCTCTTCTTTTTCTCTCTCTCGCTACGTGGAAAACACATAGAACTCCAAAAAATCACACACCCAGTGCAGCAGCCGAGCTCAGACGCCACCAATATTCAAGGTATCTCTCTCTCTCCCCCTCTCCGTCTCTTTCTCTCCTCCCCGGCTGCCCACACCCACTCACACCAAACCCCCCAATGCGCATAAACCCTTCCCCCTTCCCTCTTCCTCTTTCCTCTTTCCAACTGCCTGTACCCTCACCCCCACCAAACCCGCGCCCTAAACGCACACAGCCAACCTCCTCCAACCACCACCAAATCCCCCACAACCTCCCCATCCCCTACACTCCTATACACATAGAAGACAAACACAGACCCACACAAACAACATTCACACACAAACACACCGTATCCCCCCCAACACACACACTGATTTTTGTTTGCAGTTGTGTTCCGATTCCAATTCCCAGTAGAGTTTGCTCTTTTTTTAGTTTGAGTATGCTTACAATTTTGTTGATTTTCAATTTTTGGGCTTGCTCGAAAGATGTTTGAAAAAATGACTGATAGGGATTTGTTTTCTATTTCCGTGGGCAATGGGTTGTTTGATTTTTGCAACTATTCATTCCTTGGATTTTGATTGTTCTTTCGAACTAATATTGATATTTTTGGTCTATATCACATCTATAGAATTGAATTGAAAAATATTGTTAATTGCACTGTGAAAGAAATTGTTGTTGGTCTATATCATTGAGATTTGGGTATATTATATTTGTTTTATTGTGGAATTTGTACTGCATTTTTGCGAGTTTGAGATTTCACTGATATTTTGGTCTACATCAGTGTTATATTTGAAACTATTTGTTAATTGGTTGTGAAATAAGGTTTGTTTGGTCTATATCACTATTATATTATCAATATAAACTATCAATTGTTCTACCCACCTCACCAAATCCCTTATCAACCATTACCAGCTCCTATTTTTGTAGCTTGTGGAATGTGCGTGAGTATATCATTGCTTCTGTTTATGTTTAATGCAGTATGGGTCTTTGTTCATTTGCCGGGCTATTAATATTAATGGGATTCTATTATTCATTTATTTTTTTCAAGTATAAGTTTAAACAGCTAATGGAAAATTTTGAACTGCTAATTTGTGCTTCTATCATTGTACTTTAGATTTAATTGAATTTTTTATTTCAACAAAGAAGGTTAGCATGCAAACTATGGAAGAGGCGCTCGTAAGATAGCAGAAGAAGCACTTATAAATGATTGATCAGGTATCCTATATACATGGACTGTCTTTATGTTTCAATGCAAACTATGATTGCTGCACTTCTTGGAACCAAAACAATGGAAAAGTTAATGTCCTATTCACCTTTAAGTTTCCTAATATTTCTTTGCAATGACAAGCTTTGTTGTTTAATGTATTTTTGGCTATAATTTAAGTTTAAAATTAATTCGAAGGAAGTCATTATAGCAAGAAGAAGCAGCTAGTTATGTTCTTTGTCATTTGCTTAACCTTCAACTTCTTCGTCTGCGAACAGGTACGATTCATCACCTCCTCCTCCTCTCCCCCTCTTTGTATGTCTCCCTGCCTCTATTTGTTTGGTTTTACTCTTCGTTCAATTGCCCCTAAATCACACACACATCTGTTTTTCAGGCAGTGTTCGCACACACTTATGCATTGTTTTTTTTATTTGTTTTGTCTTTTCTCATAGAGTAGTAGAGATTGGTTTGATTCTTTCATAGTTTATGTGTCAACCCCTAAATGAACTCCAAACGGTGAAAATAACTTATTGAATTTTAGTGTTTAGAAAATACAGTGAGTGTTTTCCTATTGGTATCTACGTTCTCTTTTCACTTCACTACATTTATATGTTTATGTTTGTTTTTCATTGCCACAGGTTAATCATCTCTATCCAATCACAGGTATGATGTGTTTGATGTTGTGCTAAAAAATCTTACTTGGTTAGTGCATGTATTATCTAATTAAAACAAAAAAAAACCATTTCAAATTTTTTTTAAGTGGCAAGAGGAGTTTTGCATTGATATAATTTCGGAAATAGTCATCCCACTTTTGGCATTCACTTGAATTCCTATATGAAGAGTCTCTTATGATTGGGAATTTGATTCATTTTTGGAATTTTTTTCTATTTATGTGTATGAGATTTTTGTTCTCTTAGGATTCTAGTGGATTCATATATACTATACAAACTGATTTTGGCACAGTTTCCTACCCTTCTCTCATGTTCAACGAAATTTCTCACAGAGACTCGCATCAAGGATACCACTACTGGGTATTTGTTCTCTCGATGTTTTGAATTAAATCGTTATTTTGTGCTATTTTGTTATCTGCTATTTGGAGTAATGTGATTCTTTGTTTACCTATCATGTTGATTGCATAGTCACTGCTGTCATTGGTATGAAGATTTCAATGTTCATTTCCATATTTATGCCTTTTGTTAATATCTGTAAAAGAAGTTTTCCTTGCCCTTTTGTCACAATATATGACTGTTTTTCCTTTTTTATAAATTTGACTTCTTTTGCTAGAAATTATTTTATCCAAATTTGATCAAAGTGGAAGTGAGCTGGGCTTTGAATGACCTCTGTGTGTGTGTGTGTGTGTGCTTATTCTTTTTGTTCTATTTTGGTGATGTTGACTGTGGCTGTGTTTTGGCGGTTCTTTTTGGATTAGTAGTGAGGTTTTGGTGGTGCAAGAAAATGGTAAGTTGTGTGATAATCACATTCTTTTGTTGCATGTATAGGTGGTTGATGTTGTTATAGATGAGTTTTTATAAGTTTAACCCAATTTTTCAAAAGAAATTAATGTTTTTTTAGTAGGAGTTTAGATCAAAAAGCTGAAAAGGTGGAAGGCTTGAAGACCTCCAGGCCTTAAAGTTAACCTTCCATTTCTACTTGGTAGTTTGATTTTAGATAGTCAAAACGGCTATGGTTACGATATTAAATTTTTGATATTTATGCTTTCTGATTTTTTTTAGATTAATTACAGATGATATTTTTAGATTAATTACGCACACACAGTCGCTTTATGCAGTGTTCGCATTTACACAATCACTTCATGCAGCCACACCATGCACACACAGTCGCTTTTGCTTGGACAAAAATGGTTAGAGTACTGATTTGGATTTAGTTAACTTTCTTTTGGCTTTCTCTTTCTTACGGTGTTGCAATTGTTTGATCATATTGGTCTAAATTTGAATTTGCTAATTCGATTTTGTATAATATGGTCGGTCAGAGAAAAGTACAACTAATGTCCAATTTGTGCAGTTAACTTATGTCCAATTTGTTCAACTTATGTTTAGGCTTATTGTTCAATTGGCTTTAATTGTTGGTTTGAGCTTTAATTAGTTTAAATTATTATGCGGTACGTAGGCTTATTGTCCAATTTATGTATTTTTTCAATGAACTTCACAACGGGAAGCGACCATCGGCAGTGCAGCTTCAACGATGACACAACTCAAGTGACGATGGTGACCTCCTATGTATTTTGTCCAAACTTTGATATGTTACTGTTATTTTAGTCCACTCTTCTATCGAAGTCTCTTTTCCTGTATTTTAACGTGAGTTTGATTTTCATGACTTGAATAGAGTTTTTAAATTCAGGTTATGTGATTTTTGTAAGAAATAGGTTGTGATTGCATTGAAACCTAAATCTTCATGCCCCAAAGGTATTAGTATACCCTTCAATTTAATACCCTACATTTGGTTATTTTACAAAGAAAGGTATGCAGTTGAATAGTGAGGAACAGAGAAACTGCAAGCCGTCCCTGACTTATCAAATTATTTCTGTTTGTTGCATAGGGAGTGTATTTATCTAATTTTTTTTAACTTGCTTACATGATTGATATTATTACGTTATTATGCGTATTGGTAGTCATGTTTAGGCATAATGAAGGTTAATATTATGATATTTTTTTTGGTAGTCAGTGTGCATATGACATGATTTGATTATGATTATGTAATATATAAATTTTGTAGACAGATTGATATATTTGTGACATTATATTTTTAGAGGATACTCTGTCAAAAAATTGAAAGTTTCTTACAGAGTATTCACATTTTGACCATTTTTATTTCACTAAAGTCATGACATTAAAAAATGACTAAAAGATTTTCAGCTTAATGCATTTTCAACGAAAATTCAATGCTTGATTATTTCATGTTTAAATTTAATGTTCAATTTTTTTTAGTTGCATCGTGCCTTTAAGCATGGGTTATCCTTAGTAATCCAATATTATACAAAGGCTCACACATAATTTAGGATTATTGTTTGTTAAATTCGAATTGGGTAACTCAATTTTAACTCAAACTTATCCAAAATTAACTCGGACAATACTAAAACTGAAATCGAGTTAGAGCCAGAGTTAGAATTGAATATTTTATACATAGAATTGAATTATGATTAATCTATCAATTTGTCAAATTCATCCAAATTGCACCCTTATATTTTCTCCTACTCTCCCATTGTATTTATCAAAAATTTTTATTCTACCAGAAGTGAAATAACTTAAAAGCCCTAAAATCATAATGATTCACTTTAGGGCTGATTCACTTTAGACACACTTGATAGCTCCTCCAATGATTCGTTAATTCCAAAGAAGGAACAGACGTTACTAGGCGCCGTAACGTCATCTTTTTTTGGGTTAATTTCAACTTATACCTTGAGCAATCACTCAAATTTTAATTTATATTTTTAAATTTTAAAAATATTAATTTATACCCTAAAAATTAAAAATACCTATTAATGTGCACTTTTGACTGACTTTCATCTTAAAAAAAGTTTGAATTAATTATAAATTATACCCCTTTCAGTTTAAATATTTTATATTTATGATTTAAAACTTTTTTTATTTATTAATGCTCGTTAAATAACTCTCAATTATATTATGTTATAACATTTTTGTATTATATTCGAGTTAATAAAAAAATATTTTTAACACAAAAAATATTTTTATATCGAGTCAATTGCATTGTGTCATATATTTCACATTTACGATAATTTATATAATACTATTTAATATTTTTTAAAAATTAAAAAATATTTATTTTTTATCTATAATACTCGTTAAATAACTATTTTCTGCCTACAATTATTTTGTTTGTATCTAAAATAAAAATATTTGTGCCTAACTGTAAATAGAAAATAGTTATTTAGCGAGTATTGTAGGTAAAAAGTAAGTATTTTATAATTTTTTTTTAAATTTTAAAAAATATTTTTTTATTGATTCGAACACAACATAAAGATGTTGTGATATGATATAATTAAAAGCTATTTAACGAATATTAATTGTTGAGATCTTTTTTTGATCATAAATATAAAATATTAGTCTAAATTTTTTTAATGGAAGAATGGACGGAGTTATTCTCAGGTATATATTAGCCGTTTTTTTTTTGCTTTTTTGGCTGGTTGCGCCGTAACGTCATCTGATCATCCAAACTTCGTATCTTCTTCTTCTCATCGTCGCCTTCTTCTTCTTTGCCACCGTCGTCTTCTTCTACTCGAGTTCTCAAAGAGGGGTTTGGTTGATCATAAACTCCGGTACAGAGATCGCTGAAGCCCTGGAATTTGTCTTGAAAAACCATTGGATTCGGAGAAAGTTTAAGAATTAAATGCTTAAAACGAACATGCTCGGTGGTGGAGGTGAAAACCCTCCTCGGTAAGATTACTTTCACTTTTGTCCGACTTTTTTTTCTCTCAATTTAGGAGTTTTTCGTCTCAATTAGGTGATTTTTTATCATTCTATTTTTAACTTATGCGTTCAAGTAGTAATTTTCAATCAAATCATGCCGAAGTGAAGGTGCTACTCGTTGATGATACTTCAATTTTTTATTGAACTTCGTTTCTGTAATCTTTCTTCAAACATTTTTTTTTCTCGGGCAGTTTCGAATTGTTGAGTATGGTGAGGAAGCACTCGAACTTGTTAGGAAAAACCACAGTAGACGAGCAAGATGCGTCGGATGTTGAAATGGATCCACGGTTTTGGCACGACGTCATAGATTTGTATTTCATTCGGGGAAAGGAATCGAGGGGACGTCAGGATGACGATCTCATTTTCTTTGTCAGAAAAATGGTAGTGCCCTTATTCCTTTTCTGGTTGTGTTTGATGAGTACATTACTTTGCTGGGTCTGATATAACCACGGGTTTTGTTTACAGAGCTTGCATGGATATGGTTTCAACGATAATGTGGAAGGCAACTCTCCTTACTTTGTACGCAGGTGGGCACCTAAGGTAAAACCAGCATGGGTGCTTGTTCAAATTTTGTGTAAAAGTTTACTGTATTGCTGAACTAAGTACTCATTTGATAAGTTGATTATTCATTTTAGAACTATCTGTAATCTAAATAAGCTGAAAAAGCCTCCTTCATTGTCTTCAGTGCAGCTTGCCATTATTCACGCACAATAAGTGTTCACACTCAAAGTAAAATTATGATTAGATTTGCCTACAGCACTTTTAAAGTTTATTGGTTAATGTAGGTAAAATTTGTTGCTACTATAATTACTTTTCGTTTTTATGAGTGTAGGCGACAATATTATAATAGTTGTATTATGTAAAATAAGAAATCGGTGAATTGCCAAAAAAATATGTTGGTAAAATTGTGCAACTAAAGCTGCAAAACAGTACTCAGCTCAAGAAACTCAAACACTGCAGACATAGGTTACAAATTAATGTTTTGTTTTGTAAAACTGTTAAATACCAAGGGGCTTTCCATTGGAAGGAGTAATATGGGTTCACTATTTGGGATATATCACTATTCTTGGAATAATATTTTGGCCTGGGTGAACAGATCTTTTTTTCTTTCAAGAATTTAACCAATTCTCAAAAAATTATATTCTTTTTACCTGCAAATTATTCCATTTCTCTTTGGTGATAAGTTGTATAAGCTTGACATTATAACCTAACTAGAGTGACCTGCATATTGCCAATTATTGTAGTTGGTTGGTTGCTGAAAATAATAAAGAAGCTAAAACATGTGCTTTTGCAAAACACTGTGATCTACCAATGTTTTGTGCTGTGTATTACTACCTAACTTGTTTGTCGATAAGGGGACCTTACTGTGCTTACTTTTTGTTCTATGGCTACTTGTTTAGTAGGATTGTCACCTAATTTCAAGTTCAGGTGCCTTTCTTTCTCGTAAGTTTGTCGCGCAGAAACGAGTTACTTTGATGGAGTTATCTGGACTAGGATCGACAAGTACATTTTGTTGACACGAATATTACATGAGAGTTAGATTTCCCATTACAGTGAAAACAACTATCTACGACTCAGTTTAGATTACTGCTTGCAAACAGAATCCTGGATGTTTTGTATTGTTAACTCTGTCAATGCAAAACACAGTGGAATATCCTATATGAAGTTTTGTTTCACATATTAAGGAAATAGAAATAACTATCTACTCTTTTGAACTTAATCCAATACTGAGTTTCAGAGTCCTAAAGCAACTTGATCTTAACCCAAGGCAAAGACTCTGCCTCTGCCTCTGCCTCTGTCTCTGTCTCTGTCTCTGTCTCTGTCTCTGTCCCCTCCCCCAGGTCTGTGTGTGCTTCATCTTCAATCATGAGTGATTATATTGGTGTTGAACTATGAGGTATAAAACCCAACAAAATCTTTGCTTTGGATTCTAGAACCAGTATCAATTGTTTGAACACCATGGAAGTCCAAAGCCATGTAAAATATGCCATTTCTTCGCCATAGTATCTAAAATTGAAGGACAAATTCATCATATTAATCTGAGGTGATCTTTAGCTTTTGTATGAGATGACAGACTGCTTATTCTTGTCTTAGCAGTTGGACAACTTATTCAGTGAGAGTTCAGTAGATGTGGATTGGAGGCGCTCATTTTACTTGAATTTAATTGCCCACACTTCCTTCAGTGTAACAGTAGCAATTTGCAGGTAACTTTTCTTCTTTTTTGCTGCTACATCATATAGCTGTGCTTGTAAATGTGAGAAGAGTTTTTCTTCACCAAGAAATAATGTCTATGTGCATGTCTGGATTGTATGCTCTCATCTACGAGAATGATCTCCCAATTCTGCTTTTAAAAGGTTATTTCCAGAATGATAGCAGTTGGTCCCAACTTCGTTATGGAATAAATTAAGGAATCTAAGGATACTATGCTTTATGGTTCTCTGCGCGACAGTATTGTTATTGACTCATTCCTTGTATCAGTATTGTCTAGAAGAGCTTTATTTATTGAGGGATTATATTTATTGTTAGCAATCATGACAACGTTATATATTCAAACAAATTTATGGTGCTGCATTGACCTGGGTGATTGCGGGTCAAGGATTTTTTCTCTTAAATTGGAATGTTGATATGTTTCCAGCCATCAGGTCCTTCGGAACTATCAGAGTGGACAAGACACACCATTGTCTCCCATATATAAGGTACTGTCTACTCTTATGGTAGCTGAAGTGTCTAAAATTTTTGGATAGGAATATGTACTTTTTGTTGATCATTTCTCAATCTCTCCTTCCCCTTCTCCTGAAGATGTTTTAATTATACAAGCTTCTGTCATTGTGGACAAAAGTAAAACACACTTCCATAGTTTAGAAAAGAAAAAAGTGTGGACAAAAAGTCAAAATTGCAGGCATAATAGTGCAACAATGCGCTACATGTATGATGTTTCTCTGAAAGTTTGTGGATGGACTAATGTCCTTGGTTGGTCAAAATTAAGGGTGTTCAAATTTTTGATTGGTCGCAATTTCTTACCCTACCTGATCCTACCCTACCTTATCCTAGTGAACGGCTAGGCGCAAAAATCGGGTAAGAACGCGAAAATTTTTTTTGGTTTTTTGATTAAATCGGGTATGAATGTAGAATACCCATCAATTTTCGCATTCCTACCCTACCCGTAAAAAATATATTTAAATTTTTTATATTTTTTTTAGTAATTATAAGAGTATTTGTGTGATATAATTTATATTATAACATTATTATTATTGTGGATGTTTGAGTTGCGAAAACATGAACTTGTTTTTTGTGTAGGTTACATGATTTGTGGTGAATTGGTTATCTATTGGAGCAGTTATGATTTTAATGTGTTTCATATAATTTAAATTTAAAATAATTGTTATTGTATTTGTGTAATAATTATGATGGATTGATGTTCCTGCTTCTTATGTTTTATTGTAATCGTTGTTGTAGTTGTTTTATGTTTTAGTGTTATTGATTTATTGTGTTGTTAAATTGGTGCATGTTATTTAATTGAATTGTTAAAATGATTCAAAAATTAATAACTACACAAGGGTTTACCCGACTTCCTACCCCAATTAATCGGGTAGGAATACCACACCTGATCGGGTAGGGTAGGTCAAGAAAAAATTCTTCCTCATAATATCAGATAGGAAGACGAAAGACTGTGTGGGGTCGTTTGGTAACGTTTTTGTTTTTACATTTTCAAAAAACCAAAAACAGAGACAATTTTTTGTCTCTGTTTTGTGGTAAACACTGAAACAGAAAACATGTTTGGTAGTCATTTTTGTCTATCAAATTATGAGAATAAAAATAGAAAACATGTTTGATAACTATCTCAAGTTTTTTCCTAAATATATTTTATAATATCTCATTTTTTGTTTTCAAACAAATCAACACATTTTTTGTTTGTTGCTATTCAAATGTTATTCAAATGTCATTCATCTCAATCCCAATCCCAATCCCAATTCAATCTCAAATGGCAATTCAATCTCACCCCCAATTATTTTATTTTTTTTAGAAAAGAGAAAATTTTATATCCAAAAAGAAAGAATTACAAAAAGCAAAGAACAAGTTGTTCTAAAAATATGAAAAGAGGCTTTAATCCTTCAAGATGGATTAAACCTTTTCTAATTACATTTTGGAACGAAAGCCTCTGTAAAAAAAAAAAAAACTGCCTGCATACCCAACTCCATACTTCAGATCAGAGCAGTACAGACCAATGCAAAACAGATTAGACCAATGCAGTCCAAATGCAGAGAGGAAATACAAAAGCAAATCAGGCCATACAGATCGCACAGACCAGCTGCCCAGAATATATATATTTTTTTTTTGAAAAATAACATAATACTTGTGATGTGATAACCATTCACTAATAGAATCCAGTTAGTATTGATTGCAAACACTTGATTAGATTCTAGACGAGATATCTTCAAAAGTACCACTACTTGTAAGTTATAACTCCTAATAACTAAATGAAATTTTTGATGGGTTAAAGATTCAAATTGGTCCTACCTAGTTTCCAAAAGTCGGAACAGAACATACTCAAAGGAAACCCCAATCAAACAAGCCAAATATCAAATCATCTGTGCAGCAGCGGCAACAGGAGCAGTAACTCCACCAGATCCAACGTTCATGATGTGCACAGATCTGTGTATATATACATATATATACACAGATCTGTGTGTATATATATAGAGAGAGAGCAAGGAGATGAGATGAGAGAAGGAGAAAGAGAGAGAAAGAGAAGAGGCTTACCTCCGTCGGTGAGAGAGCGGAGAGGAGATCTCGTTGGTGACGGTGAGAGAGTGGAGAGAGTGAGGCAGCGATGGAGACTGGAGAGAAGAGAAGAGGGAGAGTGAGGTAGCGATGCAGAGGAGAGAGAAATGAGGTGGGTTTAAATAGGTTCACAAAAAAAGACAATTTTTGCTGCTAAGAGAGTTCGAAACCCAGATCTTATTAATAATTTTTTGCGCGTGTTTCTTAGAACAAAAATTTTTTGTTCCCATTTTGTTGTCTTTGTCTCTAATACAACAAAAACAAAACAAAATCAAAAACAGTTACCAAACATATTTTTGTTTTTATTTTTGACAAAAATTAAAAACAAAAACACAAAACATAGGACAAAAACAATACACAAACAACCCCTATATTTCCTACCTGTAGGGTAGGGTGAACACCCCTAGTCAAAATAAGAAAGGAAAACAAAAAAGCAGACGTTCATGTTCGTTTATTTATCTGGTTGAAGCATCTTTTGGTAACTAATCCTATCGTAGATAGTATCAAATTTTCATGTTGTCAGCGGTGGAGTTTCTAAATCTTTTTTGGCAATAACTAATTCATGTATATTTTTCCTTTTACTGTGCTTGTGAAGATCAAACAAAGTGGTTGTACAACTTGGAAACCGATTTTTTAATAGCTTTGCAACTAGGGATTGATGAATGCCATCATTTGCAGTCAACTTTGCAATGGTCCATGGACCTCCCTTGGTACTCAATGCATATGAAATATTCAGCTGCTTTATCCACTTGTGAAAATCCTGAAGGTAGTAATGGACATGAAGAATATGTTCCTTTGGAATATTGTTACATTAGTCCTTGCACTAGGTAAGATGACAGATAAGTTAGAATAGCATATGCCGCTACAATCAAAGAGATGTTTCTCAAGGATGAACATATGCCACTGAAGTTGTTATTTCTTTTGGGTTTCTAGCTTCCCCTCGTTAAGTGAGTTCTGGTGTTGAGCAATTTTTCCTTGAGGACCTCAGGCTTTTATGTTAATTAGTGATGTAGGTTGGGTGGTTTGTCATTATCACATATTAGTGCCCCCCACCCCCCTTCTCTCCTCCCCCTCTTGTGTTGAATAATGGTTAACTATGTGTTTATCGTTGTATTATTAAATATAATCTAGTATAGTAGTGAAAACAATTTAAATAACCGTTTCAAAATGAATTGAGACCCAAACCACCATACCAACTAAGCCTATCCCCATCATACCACGTACTAAAGAAAGTCTTATACAACATACCCATACTCGTACCATGTACCAAATCGACCCACAATCTAGGTACCATTGGTTGAATTTGCGACACTTTTTTCGTATTTTTGCACCAGAATCTACTTTTATGTCTTTGTTGAACAACCCCCCCCCCCCCCCAAACAACCCAATTCTCCTTCATCTTGGCCAGGCGAAACTGTTTGATTATCTACCAAGCACATCTGAATCATCACATAATTCGTGTCTATGGCCTATGGCTTTCTGCAGGTTGTAAAGACTGTCTATGCATCTCCAAGTCGTGTCAATTTTCATTTGGACTCTAGGAAGGTAAGTATCCTTGTGGTCTGTGAGACTACATTTCCAATTTTATGCTTTTGTTACTCAATTCTCATCTGTCACTTACTCGTATGCATCCAGGAAGTAGAAACGAGTCCTGCTTATCCAGAAATATGTTTTGCAGTTGATGACTTTGATTCAACATTTGATGCGGTGGTAATAAGCAAAATATCTATTAGTCATTTAGTATTGTTCTTAAATAACTTGTTGCATGTGAAGCTTTAGGTACATGAGAAATTTTTTTGCAAGTCTTTGTTAAAAAAAATTTCATCAGCTATATTATTGATGGCTTCACAAAGGATGTTTGGAATATTGCACTGTTTTTACATCTCTCCAGTTGCTGCCACTGTCCACCAAAGATTGAAGGAACCAGTTGTGTACTTTTTGCTAAGCCTTTTGCTGTGTCGACCTGTTTACTCTAGGATATTTTTGGGCTATTATAGTCACATATGTTGAATTATTCTTTTATGTGGGGTTTGCCCTTCTATGGCAATCTTGGAATACATTTTTCCTTATCAGAAGATTATATACTTATAGGTATCAATAAGGCTGAAATTTTCCCTAGGCCTTTTGTGTATCTGCAGGTGTCTGTGTGGGTTTTTTCTTTTGAGATGGGTACTATATCTCGTTGTATGGATATAGAAATTCTAATAGTTCTTAGGTGAGAATTTTACCATCATCATGTTCACATGCTATTTTTGGTGATTTTCTTGAACTGTCCTGCAACAATTGAGCATACTTTCTTTCATTGGAAGTTTAGAAGATGATTGCTTTTGAACGTACAAAAAGTTAAAATTTTGGATGCCATAAACCGTTAAACTCCAGGATCTGACTTGTCTAAAAACTTTCTAACCCTGCTGCAGACAAATTTCTGTCCTTGGATATTTTGCTTAAGTTTGATTCTCTTATTAGCGGCATCTACTTGAATATATTATTTAAAATGTTTCCAATTGGATTTTTAACTCTCATTTTAATACATTGAGATAAAATTACTTTCAAGTAAATTCATTGAAATGACTAACAAATAGTAAATTAAGATAATCATAGTGTGATTATTTTCAGTTATTTGAATTTTGATATGATCAATTTTTTTAGATGTTTAGATTCTTAGCAGCAGCACGACTTTTTGTAAGCTTAATTATTATGAAGTCTGATTTTGATCTATACAGTTTCCTTGAGTAATCACTTTCTCCTGGTTAACAAAATATGGTTTCAGTTGAGAATTTGATCTAATCACCAACAGCATTTAAATCAACAAAAATAATCTGGGAGTTGTGCCTGGATATTTTTATTTGAGAAATATGTTGGATATTTATAATACACGTGGGGTAGTTTTTCTTCTTCTGCAGTTCAATTGTTGACATTAACAAGTCCAAAATACGTAAAAGTGGAAGAGAGGGAAACATAAAGAATATTTTATGTGATACAAGTTAAATTATTGGAATGTGAGGGTACACATGTTTTGTTAACATGAATCATCTTCTGTTTCGAAGAATCTGGCATATCTTTTATGCTACTCTCCTTTAAGTCTGTCATCTGTTGTGAACCTATCTAATTGAAGAACACATAAATCACCAGATATCTTCTTTTAGTGATTCCGCTGAAGAGTAATGATCTTTTTTTTTTTTCGGTTTATTCAAGTTGAATAGTTACAATGGTCATTTATCTTTCCAGAACTTTTCTCTTGCAGGTCTTGACAGATACAGATCACTGCTATTGTGTACTTCTAAATGCTCATGATGGGGCAGCATTTCCCGATGAAAAGGCATCACAAGATTGTAGTTCTAGTGATGTTTCTCCTTCAAAGAATGATACTGGTGCTGGAAACACGAAGAACACTAAGGTTTGGGGTTTTGATTCTTTTCACGTGAAACAATACTGATCCTTGCTCCTTTTATGAGTTTTGAACTGCTGAGTAGGCAGTTTTGTTATCTTAGTGAATATAAATATTAGCCATGTGTTTCCGGTTGCCATGTGCATAAAATCTGTGGCAACTTGTTTATGGACTGTGGGATCTGTTGTACTCCCAATTTTAGAACAGAATGCAGTATCTGTGATGACAGCACAACATTCATAGAGTATATATTTACTTGATATATATATTACAAACCAGTATTTGGGTGAACTTTACATCTCTCTCTTGCTCTCGCGCTCTCAGTTGCAACTAGCTTTGATAATTTTATTCAGCCTGCTGTGATATTACAGAAAGAACTCCTGTATTGGCAGTTTCCATTTTCTTAGCCTTATGTTGATGATCTGACATTTGTTATTGTGCCGGTCTTTGCTAGATGCTATCCCACAATTTTTATTGGGATGTTGTTCTACTTTATTTTGCTTCATTTTTTGGGCTTGTGTTTCCTTTGCAGTTTGTGGGCATCTTGACAGGTTGGTGGTTTGTAATTGCAGGTCACACTATTTTCAGGATTTGTCAGCTATCAGATGGTTCGAGAAGCGTATGATGGTAAATTACGTCGTTTAGACCCAAGTGCTATAAATCTCCAACTCTTGGAATCTGTTGTTTTTTCATGTTCTTAATTCGAGTTACTTTTTTCCCACCATTCTAGCTTAATAGCAAACCAAATTAGTGAAATTCTTATGTGGTTACTTAATGTGCTTGTGTTTGCTTACTTGAAGTGTTTATGGCTTCATCGAAGCGAACGCATCAGTAAAAAAAAACAAGCAGAAACAGAAACAGAAACAGGTAGATGTAGAACATATTAATCAAACAACTTAAAATCACAGAAACAGAGTCAGCATAAGCAGAAACAGAATCAGCATTAAGCAGAAACAGAATCTGCATAAGCAGAAACAGAATCGGCATTAAGCAGAAACAGAAACAGAAACAGACGATGCAGAAACAGAAACAGAATAATAAACAGAACCAGAACCAGAACCAGAAGCACAAAACAGAAGCAGAAGCAGAAGTAGAGAAGAATAAATCAAAACAGAGAATCAGAACTCGAGAAATCAGAGAATCCCAGAAAAGTAAAAACAGGAACACAGAAGAAGCAGAATCAGAAGAAGAAGAAGAAGAAGAAGAAGAAGAGAAGAGGAGAAGAAGGAGAGAGAAGAACATACCTGTGTTCTGTCGAAGAAGAAGACATCAGCAGAAGAAGCAGCAGCAGCAGCAGATCTGGTTCTGCAAACAGATTCTTCTGTCGAAGAACTTAACAAAAGCGTTTGCTTTTCTCGCCTGTCGCTTAAGCGACAATCGCTCATTTTTCTCACTTTTGCCTTGCTTCAGGCATTTTCGCTTCTGGGATGCTCAAGGCGAAGGGACCTCACTTCGCTTCGTTTCTCGCCTAGGCAAGCTTTTCATAACACTAATGACCTCAATGAGCAATAGCAAAGACTAAAAATCCTCATGAGACAGTTATGAATTTTGAAAAATATGGAGTACAATGTTGATACGACTCCAAATAGTTGGGAGTGTTGGGACAAAGTTTTGTTGAGTTGAGTTGTAGCGGAATCAATAGTTGGAAATTCCATGACCGGATTTTTTTCGGTAGGTAGGAAATGAGTATAAATCAAGAGTTTGATCGATACATTCTGGATATTTGTTGAGTTACAGCTTCGAGTTTAAAAACCAGCTAGTTCTTATTAGTTGTTGGAGACAAACAGGTTTTCTGTTTGGGCCTTATCTTTTTTCTCTTTCAATTTACAGCTGGGAGATCTGGATTAGGGAGCCTTTTGTCACTTGGTCATTCCCATGGCAAAACTGACAGGCTTTACATGAAGGGTCCTGGAGGACGTGGCGAAGTTGAAGTAGCTGTCTCTGGTGTCTCAGGTGAGGAAAAATCAAACTTTTGCTTGATCTAGCGATGTCATAAAAGCCTATATTAATACTTCTTTTTGCAGTTGTGCTTATAAATTGTCATGTGATGTAAGGTTGAACTCATTTAAATATCGTTGTCATTCATGAAAGCTTTTACTTCTTCACGTCCAGTGGCAGGAACATATACTTGCCATTAGTCAGTTCCTCAAGTTACTGCAGCTATACCAGTGCTTAATGAAGCTTTATGACAAAGTTAACACTTTTGCATCTTCTTCTCCATTTGTATATTTTCTTCTTTCATTTTTCTGGTTTGGTGGATTGTTCTAGGTTTTGAATAGCAGTGTTTATTACCCATATGAATGGTGCAAGAATAAATACCATGATCAAGCCAAAAGGTTGGTAGTGGAATCTGCATGAATGTTTTACCACACCAAGGCAGATCTGAGATTTACGTCTTGTCCACACTTTCCAGTATTGGAGCTTCAATTGTCATTTATGGGTATGATAAAAATAGCTTGTCTTATCTGCTAACATGAACACTGTTCAAAAAAAGCTGGACAAGTGGCGGGTAGAAATAGAGAAATGACGGCCCTCATTCCAAATAAGCTGTCCCTCTTTCAATACTCGAAGCTGTGTAGTTTCCAAGTGGTTTTTATTTTTAGTAGTTTGGTTGCAATGGTGAACATATTTTTACCTGACAGTCCTGATTGGTTTTATAAAATTGATGATGCAATGGTTGTCATTTACTGAAACTTGCTGTTTATGTATTAGATCAAAGCAAGCTGGAATCAGGCTCCTACTCTCCGGTTCAGGTATCAAAGAGAGGATTTGGGATTGGAACAATTGTTCGTAAAGCAGCTTCTGTTGCATCTGAGGCAGCAAAGCATGCCTATGCAGCTGCTTCTGCCACCCGTAGTTCAGATGATGAGATGCTGCCTCTCAAGTGCTGCTTGATGTCCGTATCATTGCCCTGGGAGCACATTGCTTATGATCTTTTGTTTAAGGTGGGAGCTTTGTCTTTTAATCTTTGTATTATGAGAAGAGGAATTCTTTTGAGTAAAAACAAATTCCCCTGGGAGGACTGCTTGTTTCCTTTATATGGGATGACTATATATCTATATGATGATTCTTTTTCCGGTTCTTACATGATCAATAATGGTACTGAGTTCTGTTTTTTTTTTGGTTACCAACCTTAGGGAAGCCCACCAGTGAACTTGTAGGTGTACATTATGATTTATGGGTGATACAAGACAACATCAAGTTCCCAACTTAATTCAACGAAGAAAATGTTTCAAATTCCTTCGTTGAAGAGGAAAGCGGGAAAGAAGAACATTCGCAAACCAGAGGTAAAGCTTGCACCGTAAAGTAAATGCACAGGATAGCTTTCGGATGTATGTTGTTTTTGAAAAGTCTATTGGATTTTGTCATAGGGTGGTAATTATGTTGCACATATGTACTTGATTACTTAGCAGTTCTCAAGTGCACTTTTGTCATTGTTTAAGATGCTCAACTCATGGTTAGTGAATTCAAACCTCTTCTATGTTCATTTCTTTGGGTTTCAATGGCAATTATTTCTCTTGGACCAACCTATGCTAATGGTTGTGTTTTTTGATATTGTAGCTCAAATACTCCATTGGTTTATCGTTTTATTTTGTAATATTTGCCCCTCCTCCTCCTCCTCCGTGCCATTCATAGGTTTTCCTCTGATAGCACACTATTAATTTTCTCCACTATATTTGCGTTCGAGGTCAGAACTAGAGAGAGGGAAAGTGCTCATTTTACTAGGGATCAAATTAAGTCTTATGTCCCAATCATTTGAGGTTGATTATATAAGTTTGTTTTTATCAAGCATTTCGATCATGTGTTAAATGCTCATTTAAATTAAATATTTTCATATCTTTTCTTATTATTTTGTTCAATGTTACTTTAGGTTTACCCTTACTTCTAGTACCATTAAGAGAAATTATATTACTTTTTTGAATCGGTACCTTGGTTAGTCTCCGTTGAATATGATCAAATTATCTTAATCTATTCTCTCTTAACTTATCTTCAATTGGAGTTACTTGTATCATTTCTCTAATACAGTCATTTCTTATTCTATCATTTCTAATTTTTTCACATATTCATCTTAACATTCTCATTTTCGCTACACTTATTTTGTCACTATGTTATTTTCGAGTTGTCCAACATTCCATCTCATATAACATAGTTGTCTTTATAGTTATTTGGTAAAACTTATCTTTCAATAGAATCAACGCCAGTTGACTTAAGTGGAGAAAAGTTTTTGACATATTATGTGATAGAAAAATACCAATAAAATTGATAGTTTTGTGCAACGAGTACGATTATATTTGCACGTTTATATCTTTAACTTGACACTGAAATATTTCCATCCCTTGAACACTTTTCCTTTGGCAAAACTATATGTACTGGTACAGCCAAGTGTCAACAATCAGGGAAACTATACCATGCTAAAGCAGTTTTCTGTAGCCTTTTTCTCCTTTTTATCTTCTGATGCACAGCAAGACCAGCTTTGCTTTGTCTAAGAAAACTTTAGATGCCCATCCAGGGTTCTGAGGGACCACCATCAGTTGTTTAGTTCAAATTAGAACACACTTTATTTTCTTTCAGTTGATTTCTCCTTTCTTGATCATCCCAGATAACAAGAGAGAATGAAACTCTAATGTTCTATTTAGTATGATGAGAAAATAAAATGACGAAAAGTTAGAAGGATGAATAGTTGGAAGAATAGATAAAATATTATGTTTGGTAAAAAAAAAAAAATAGGAAGGATAAAAAAGTGGATGAATGAATTTTCCTACCAACTCACTAAAATCAATCCCTCCAAATCGGAAGGAAAGCGGATTTAAAATTAATTATTTGTATTAAAATATATTTTATTTGTTTATATATCCTTTGATATATACATATATTATGTATACATTATTTTTATATATAAATACAAATTTAATAAAAATTTCCATCTTACCAAGCACAAAAAAAAAAAATTAATTATTTTTATTTTTTATTCATCCTATCAAATACAAAAAAAATAAAGTGTATTATTCATACTTCATTCCTTGAAGGATAGAAAATGTATCTCTCCTACTTTCTATCATTCCTAACAAATGGAGCATTGAGGGATAATTTAAGTGATAACATGGATTAGCTGTAAACTCAGACGTCTTGAGTTCGAATTTTGGTAACTCTATGAGGTCAGAGCACAAGGGTTTATTTGTTATGAATACTCTAGTCCTCATGTGAATGATCTATCTTTAAGCGGATTAGAGAGGGGATTAGTCGAGAAATGCATAAAATAAGTTGGACATCACTGACCGTTGAAAAAAAAAAGAGAGAATGAGAAAAAAATTCAACATTTTTCTTTTTCAAAAGGCAGTATTACTTGGACAGTTTATATTCCAACAAATTTGGAAACTATTCTGCTGATCTTTGTGTTGTATGGAGCCTGGGGAATTGCCTTTTAATCAATATTGTGTGTTGAACCCGCCAAGGTAGTGGTTATTCTCTCAAAGTCTTAAGACAGTTCTTGCGAGGGAGTCTTGATTTACCCGATTTGCATGATTTGTATATCATGTAGATTTATAAACAAAATTAAGGGCTAATCTCACTTGGCACCCTTAAAGATGCTACAATTCTCAATTTATACCTTCAAACATTAAAAATTTTAATTTATACCCTCAATGTTTTGAATTGATAGCAATGTAGATTTTACTCAGACTATCGTTCAACTTTTCGTTATAAATTTAAGCAAATCTTCGTGTACTATCAATTTGACACCATTTTGTATACCGAAAATAGAGTTTCATTAATCAGATAAAAACTAATCTTATCATATGTAACTCATATGAGGTGCCAACAATATGTAAATTTATACATAGGCTTTATGTCTAAAGTATTTGTAACTCATGTGCTTCAATTTATAATGAAAATTGAAGACAATCTGGGTGAGGTCTATATTGATACTAATTCATAACATTGAGAGTATAAATTGAGATTTTTAATATTTGAAGTTACAAATTAAAAATCGAAACATCTTTCGAGGTGCAAAATAAGATTAACCCTAAAATTAAATCTAGAGAAGGGAATGTAGTTGGGTCAGGAATTTCACAGGATGCAACAGAAGGGTTTTTTTTTTGGTTAAATAAGTGCAAGCACATGGAGCCTACTCTTTAGTTGAAGCACATGCAAGTGAGGACCTGATATGTCAACGTTCACTTTACTCTACATATCAAAAACAAAAGACAATGGCAAAGAATAATGCATGTTAGTCTCCACTGTCGTGCCTTCCAAGTTGCTAACATACCAGAAAACACATGAAATACCTTCCAACCAAGATAACTACCTGATATATAAAGGTCTCAAATTTGTTGTCATCAAAAGCATTATTATTGATGGTGTAAAAATCTGATAGGCGTGAGTTGGAAGAGTTGATGAGCTCTAAGTGAGACGTATTGATTCTGTGTGGTGGTGAAATAACAGAAAATGCACAAAGAATTAAGTGTTTCATCTAACTAAAGAGATAGACTAGTCCATTGTCATTGGATAAGTTCTCGATTTGTATGTGTTATTTTTGTGTAGGAGTCATGCTAATCTTTTTTGTATCGTTTTAATTTTATCAGATGTTTTCGAATGGACAAAGTCCACTGTAATAGAGACTCTTGCTCCTTTTACCTATGTATTACTTGAAAAATGAGGAGATTACACTTGGTCTGTTGTTTTGCACATGCTGAGGCAACGACGGTACAATCCTAACAAATTTGTCTGGGAATATTTTGGGTAATCATGGACCGTTATAAGCTATCTTCCTAAGTGTGATGTGACATTTTAGAAGCAATAGTGTGACATATTAGAGGTGATTACTTCTTACCCAAGGAAGGGTTTGCTGATGAAAGTTTTTTTCTGTTACCTGTGACTGTTCTCGAGTTGATACGCTTATGACTGACTTGAACCTTCAGGTCAGCATATGAACCACCTGACTTGACACAAGCCCAAGTTGAATAACTTCTTCTGGTATTATCAATTATGATTAATGACAGTTACATAAAATTTAAATGTTCTTAATCATTTGTAAATTACAATCATCGAGTCAAATAAGAGAAGTCATTCAAACTAGCTGCATGTAAAGCATAATGGGCCACCGATTTCATTTTGACAAAAAGCCTGAACAAAAACATTGGCACATGGCTGTTTTAAAATTAGCCAGTTTTTACTTTATCAGCTGGCTACGTAACCCACATGATTTCCGGCAGGACTCTCTTTGCTAAATGTGTTACCTGATTTGTTTGTGTGGTTTCTTTGTTTTTGGTCTGAAACTTCATGATTAAGGTAATCTTTTCAAGGACCCACATGAAATGAAAAAAGCATTCAAAGTCGACCCCCAAACACCCCCACAACACAAATCTCAACCGCACATGCCAATTACCACCTAACATCACACAGATGTCTTATGATGTTTCTTTTTTACTATAAAAATGTTGTTCTCGTTACATCTTTTTTGAATTTGGAAACATTGACCTAAGTGATAAATAATTATATTAATTAAGGTAGGACGGTTGTGTGATTGTAAGTTTAATGATTAGTTTTTGGACTATAATTCTTAAGAGTAGTTAAAATAGTATCAGATACGAGCTGTAAATTTAAAAATTACGAGTTCAAATCTTGATAATTTTTTGAGATCAAACCATGGAAGATTTATCTCTCATGATTTTTCTATTTTTGTGCGTTGATGGCCTCCTTTCGATAGTATGAGGAGGAAATTAGTTGAAGTACGCGTAAGTTGACCTCAGATATCTCTGATCATTAAGCTAAAAAAAAAATTAGATTAGACTATATTTTTCTTAAGAATAAATATACTCGTATGTAGATTAATGTTATGCAATTCAAATTTGAGATCCCAAATGACATCCCAATTTATAAAGATTATTGGATCAGTGGATCCCATTTAAAAAAAGTTGATGAAATTCATTTATCCAATGCTCCCCGTTCATTTGGGATGTCATTTGAGATTCAAATTTGGGTTACATAATATTTTCTTGGTATGATTAGAAAAATTGTGAACACAAATTAATTTGTCTAGGACTTGTTTTTAAAGAAAACTGTTAACAAATAAAAATAAAAATATAGCGAATCCAAACATTTTATACGATACTTTCGGGCACAATTATTAACTAGTACACACTAATTTGTTTTCGGGCACAATTATTAAATAGTACACACTAATTTGTTTTGTTTAGTACGATTAAAAAATAAAAGGTTGGAAAGTTAGAATAATGAAAAGTTAGAGGGATAAATAAAACATCATATTTAGTAAGGAAGGAAAATAAGAATGGAAAAATAAATGAATTAACTTTTTTTCTAACTCACCAAAATTAATTCTTCTAAAATTGGAAGAAAAAAGTGAATGAAAAATTAATTATTTGTGTTAAAATATGTTATTTATTTATATATTTTTTGATATATACATATCATATTTATCAATTATATATTATATATACATTAATTTTATATATAAATATAATGGTAAAATATATATTTATACTTTTGCTATTCTTCTACTTTTTCATCCTACCAAATACAAAAAAAAAAAAAATTTTTCTTACTTTTCATCCCTCCTACCAAATACAAAGGAGATAGGGAAAAAAGAATTCCTTTATTGAAACATAAAAAATATATTACTTTTACTTTTTAGCTTATTTTTTTTCATCCACCTTATAAAACACACCATAAATAAGAAGGCCAGATATTCTTGGAAACTCGGACCCAGTCAAGTATAGAACAACTGAGCCCGAATTTTAGTAAGAAATGAGTCAATCTAGGAATTCACTAGACCATATCTTGACGTTTCAGAATCAGTAACGTCATACTGATTAAATTTTGAGATTAAATTTAAAACTCAAATAACATGACAGTATATTATTTAGAGTTTTTTATTAGAACCCAAATGATATAACACAAAATCAAAAACTCATGTCAGCTATCATGTTATTTAAACTTTAAATTTGGTCAGTATAACATTACTCTTTCAAAAAAATAACTATAAAACCTTCTTATTTGAATTACTCGGTGAATTGAATTAAGGGTGATTTATCAATAACCTCTAATACTAAAACAAACAAGAAGAATAGATGAACCACTTGTTAGCCCTAACAAGTTGTTCGGCCAGTGAATAATAATTTGGATTTTCTCGTTCAATGTTTGAGTTTGAGTATCTATAACTATAACAATTCGTTGAGAATAAATTTATTTTTCAACGCACAAAGTATGCAGTAGGACTATAGTTTTAGCTCCGACATAGGTATGATAAAATCTCTTATAAATAGTTGTGTGATACTAAAAAATAATGCTCTCTGACAAATATATATAGTGACGTATCTTCATATTCATTTCTAGTTAAAAAAAAAAAACCAAGAATGGATGAACTAAATTAACCAACTAGAACGGATTTCCAAATAACATTAATCTTTATATACAACACGCATACAGCAAGGTCCAATAAATTTTTGTTAGGACGAAAATACCCTCACTTTTCCAAAAGTTCAATCTCGAATGGATCCCACGTGTCCCCCCTCATCTCCTATAAATAGCATTTCCCTACACCTCCTTTCTTCCCTTTTCTCCTCCTTTCCTCCCTCCGGTTCAACCTTTGCCTTTTTGCAACCATGATGTCTTCCCAAGATCCGGTTCAATATGAATTCCCGGCTTTCGAAGCTAATTTCACCCCCGATGAAATCGATCAACTCTTGTCTCTCTTCGAATCTGAACCTCCGGTTCACTCAACGTCCAGTTCAGAAACAACCCGGTCGGTATACCCTATGGATGAGCGGAAGCGAAGGAGGATGTTGTCAAACCGTGAATCAGCCAGGCGCTCTAGATGGAGGAAGAAGAGACATTTGGAGGACGTGGCAGACCAACTGAACAGGCTAAAACTTGAGAACCGGGAATTAAAAAACCATTTGTGCGTGGTTACACATGAATATCACGCTGCCCAGAGAGAGACCAACCGGCTCATAGTCGAATCCATTGACCTCCAGCAAAAACTTTCCGGTTTATACCAAGTTTTGTGTTCCATGCAGTTCTAGTTAACCTTAAATCATCATGGCCTAAATAATCTCCAAACTTCCTAATCACCCCCCCCCCTCTCTCTCTCTCTCTCTCTCCATATATGCATATATACGCTGTACATTACACCATGCATGAACGTTGAAGCAGTGGAAGGACTGAAGGAACACGAGTTTTTGAGTCTATTGACGAACCCCACGTTGTAGTTTGACTGGTACCATGTAATTGAAGGCTGAGTTGAGGAGATTAAGGTTTTCCTTTTCTGGGTGGTTTTTCAACTCAGACCCTTTGTTTTCTGGCTTCATCCTTGTTGTTTGGCAGCTGATCAGTATATATGTTTGTACTCTGTAGACCTTTCGAGCTCCAGACGTATATATTTTCAGCCTCTACACAGCTTTTGTTAAATGATGGTATCAAACCATCATAGTGAGTAAATATATATAACTATATATAGAGGTATCATTGGTGATTAGTGACCTAGTTTCTCCATTAGCAGAATATATTTGACTATTTAGCTTTTAGTACGTGAGGTGGGGCTTAAAGATTGTTTGGACCCATTCGTATCAATCACTCCTACCTAAAAGCATCATGATTGAAAGCTTCACATGATTACAGTTTTAATTATTGGAGTCACTTGATTTGCTGGGTAGTAATATTTGTCAAAGATCACCCTTATTCATATTTAATTTATTAATCTAATCACTCATAACTATTGAATTCACAATGAACCCAATATTTTTTTTTTAAGTTGGCTATAACAGAACCGTAGTACTTATTGAACAATGTTATTTAGACATAATTTATTAATCTAATTTGATAACATAATCACTCATAATTATTGAATTGATAGCGAATCCCGATATTTTTGAAATTATATACGATATCAATTCAATGATTATATTGTGAGTTCGTCAACAAATTATATTATTATTTTCCAAATAGAAGCAACATATATTTATGTCAGCACCAACTATCACTAAATGTGATATACACTCGGCAGAAAATGTTGCTTATATATGCACCTTGCATGGACCCCATCATTCATTTCATATGCAGATTCAAGCACCAAACAATGCTACAACAACTATTGTATTACCAACTCAAAACGATTTTTTTCTAATAAAGCAAAAACAACAAGAGAAAAAACATAAAGCACACAAATATACATGATTAGGTTCGAACCCTATATCTGTCAACATTATTATTTCCAGGAACATATACGTTGACGATCATGTGTAAACTTCTGATGTGAGACTCGACACACAATAACAAAAATTGAGGACCACCATTGATGTAAACTCCTCATGGCATATTTGCTAATCTTGATGCTTGTCTAGGTTTTATCTAAATGAAGGTTTTTATTAACTCAGATGGAGTTTTCTAGCCTACGCTGGTGGGAATGTGGAATATGTGCCAGGGTTTGAGCAGCAGATGCCCGCCAGAAAATTTTGTATGAGTTTAACACACCACATGATATCATGTGGTGTATACAGCCAATGAAAAGTTGTACAAAAGCAACTTGTAAGAGACACAAGTTGGGTTTTTCAAAAAAAAATTCTGATAATGTGATAGGTGGTAACTAATCATTGGACATGTACAATTTTTATTAGCGATGTACACCACGTAACACTACGATTTGGTGTGTTAAACCCATTGAAAAGTTTCTCGATGCTCACATCGTCCTGTTTCCTATGTCCACATGGCTGCACATTTTCGCAGATGAGACTACTTTTGTTTCAACGCAACGGGTTTGATGATTTTTGTTTGATTATTCTCTTTAATTTGACTGTTGTCCCCACTACAGATAAAACCTGGCACCACCTTTGGCATCAACTATAGATTTAATCTAATGTTAAAATTAATCACATGGTGAAAAAATAGTGGTTTTTATGAAATTGGCGGTTGGTAGCTTTTTATTAGCTTTATGCTTTCTCCAAAAAAAAAAAAACATGGGTCTCACAATTTAAACCAATAACATTCGTTCGTATTGATAATGAAGTTATCGAGGAATTCTCTCAAAGTATAAAAATCGTCGGGGTCAATTACAATAACTATAATTAGTCTAATTTTTTTTTTTTTATAAAAAGCTATAATAAACATCTTTTTAGTTATTTTTTTGTTTACATAGACTATATACTGGTTTTGGCCCTTTTATATTTATTGAATTTTTTAGCATTAAATACGATATAAAAAACATAAATGTATAACATTATTTTTAACTATTAAAGAATAAAATAAAACTTGTGATTAGTTGTGTCTATACTAAAACATATTTCTGACTCTTATCACTAATCACCTTGCAAAAAAATAGTTGTTTTCATGAGATTGGCAATTGGCAGCTTTTTATTAGCTTTCTGCTTTTTCCAACAAAAAAGGGTCTCAAATTTTAAAGCCATATTTTACCCTAGTGATGAAAATTTAAAGCAATATCTATAGGGAATCACCGTACCCAGGTGTAGCCATTGTAATTGAAACAAATGGAAATCTTTTTGGTAAGCAAGGATGACTTTGGGTATAAGACTGCAAGGACTATAACAAAAAGTGTTTGTCATGCATGCATCTAGTATGGGCTAGAACTGGTGATGTGGTTTTAGTAAGATGCAAATGAACTAAGCCTAGTTGAGATTGTGATTGTATAAGTTTGACACGTTTATAGAGATACTTTATTAGATTCATATCGATAACATGATGTATTTTGAAAATCTTGTTCTAATTCGAGCTCTACTTATTTGATTAAATGAATCGAACTTGAGCTCGAGCTCAAGCTCAAGCTTGAGCTTGTGTTGTACATAAATGAGTTGAAGCTCTTATAAGGGGGGAATGGATTTGAACAAGTTTTAATATGAATGATACCCGAACTATTCATGAACACCTCAATTCATTTGCAGCCACAAGTTTCAAGCCAAGGTTGGATCCATGTGTCATTATCAAGAAAGCTCTGTTGTTTGGTTTACCAAACACTATGCTAAAGGGCAGACCCAAAAAGAAAAAAAAACAATATGCTAAAGGGATCCACATGAATGTATGGAGATGTGTAGTCCCATCAAATCGATATAGATTCACAAGAGCTACACTTTCACAAGCAAAAGGTTGCTGTGAAGAGAACATGAACTATCACAGGCTCATCACCAATATGAACTGTGCACTTTGAGCCATGCATTTAACCAGCCACAAATCTCTCATATTTTCGATAGCTCTTGGACGTTCGTTAATCACACAATTCTTCTCGTACAATAGGATTGAAATTGACTTCAGTTTGTGAAGTTCGACCCAATTTCAGAGGATAACGATGTCAAAATTCAATTAACTTTTTGTGATGGTTACACATATTAGACCATAACTTTATGCAAACTTTTATTATTAGGTTAAATATGTGCCTAAACTTCATGGTTGGTCTTGTTCCTTTCCGGGATAGTGGTGCCATGGCTGCTGCCCTTATCTTAGTGGTCTCTCGACTACTTCATCTTCAAGTTCTTAGAAGCCGCCCGACAAAGAAAGTTCTTAAAAGTCAGAAACTTTCTTTTTGACTAAGAGAATGGGTCATGCTCATGGGAAAGTTGGATCATTGATAGTTACAATTACCTAAAAAATATGACTTAAAAGGCTAAGTTCTGAAATGAACAAATAAACTTTAAGGGTGTGTTTACTTTCCAAGGAGGGATTGGATAAAATAATATATGGGTCTACCTTATCCCACTTATACTTATGTTTGGATATATATTTTGAACTCGGTATTATCACTATAAATAGTTCAAGGCTCGGATGAACAATGCATTTAGTATCATAATTTTTTTTTTAAATAAATCAAAAATATTCTTGTTGGGGAGGATTATTTGTGTAAAATATATTTTTACCCTTGGCAAACCCAGATATAAATATCAAACATGGGTATGAATTCAACTAAGTTGGGGTTCTTTATAATTTTAATAACTATACCATCATTTAATTCTCAATCTAAAACAAAATTTTACGTGGAATAAGGGTAGACCCACAATTTTCTAATACTTGAACCAAACAAAGGATAAAAAAAATAAATTTGTAATTTGTAATTTTTCTCCGGCTAGATGGATATGAGATAGGTGAGTTTATCTAATCTGATCATTCATAACACTTAAACTAAACACAGCCTAATTGAGTAATTGTATTGTAAAACTTCTTTATTATTGAGGTTTGACGGGCTTAAGCAATAAACTATTCGGTTTGATGCTCATGATTATAACGTAAACTCAGAATGCTTGCAAATCTGATAACTTTTTATAATGATATATACATTGTTTTTTTGTCTCTATACGACAAGAATTTCGTGAAAATTTCGTAACTATATAGTACTAACGATCGTTGACCCAAAAAAAAAAAAAAAGTACTAACGATCGACCTTAGAACAAAGTTTATTCAAAGTCTGTAGTTTGGGCATTATTATTTGAACGGGCTCATGTGGCTGGCCCAAGACACCAAGACATGTAGAATAGGAAGAAGCACTGGACCGACGCAATATGGACCATCAAAAGTGTCTAACGGGCCAATTTAGCTTCTAGGGCATTTCTGTAATTCTGAAAAACCCAAAGGTTTTGAAAATCTAAAAAAAGAGCCCGCCGCTGATGCCATTTGAAACCAAGCAACAGCTACGTACACAGAACATCTCAGATCACTGTTTTCCTGTATCTGAGTGAGTGTGTGTGAGAGAGAGAGAGAGCGAGAGAACACAAACATGGAGAAGATATGCGTAGCAGTGAGAGTGAGACCAGCAGTGAGTCAAGATACTCCTAATGGAACATACTGGAAGGTCGAAGACAATCGCATCTCTCTTCACAAGTCCCTCGGAACCCCGATCTCTGGCGTTTCGTACACTTTTGGTATTCAATACTTTCTCTCTACCTCCATTATGTGCATATGTGTACGTACTTATCTCCATTTAGCTCATTCAGTTGTTCTAAAATGTTGTAAAATCAATTTTCCCGTGGTTGATAATGCAGATCATGTGTTCGATCAAGATTGCTCAAATGGTAGGGTTTATGAGCTCCTTACCAAGGACATCATTCGTGCTGCCGTTGAGGGTTTCAATGGTAAGCTTTTTTATGTTAATTAAACTAGTGTTTGTTTTCGGAAATTTCCTTGAGCTCTGTTTTCAATTGAGTTGACTTAACTCTGTAAAAAACAATTTAGCTCACCAAGGGACTCAATGCTGGGGTTGCAAACTACTTCTTGAAAGATTTGTTAAATAGCAGATCTGCACTTTTTCTTTATAATTGGAGGTCTTCTTTAAGAAAAATAATCTTCTAGGCCCATGCCTAGAAATAGTCAGCAGCTTCAGATATTGTTCCTTGATAGCTTCTTTCAGTACTTCCCTGAATTAAATAATTTATGAGTGAAACAAGGTGCTGATTCCAGAAATGACCCGGAAAATGTTCAAATGTAGCCTTTTAGATTCCTATTGGTCAAAACTAATGGCCATTTGAATTAGCTCAAGACTTCACGATTATCAAATTGTGGGATAGAAGACTAAAGAACGCTATGTTTCTCTGTTTGAGCTAATGTGCAAGAGGATAGGGTGGAATATGAATGTGTGCATAATGGGATAGTTTGTTTCTGGATTAGAATTTTGAATTTGTTAACCAAGGATCATGCTAGACACCATGTCATGAGATTTCCCAGTCACACGAGAGAACTGACAGCACAACGGCAAGTTCTAAAGTGCTGCTTGTGTCGTGGTTTTCTTATAGAGAGTAAATGGTACTGTCATTGATTATGAAGCCTCAAAATTTGCTCAATGATCTGAGTCTTCATCTAAGGGAGTTATGCACTCTTGGTCGAAGATTCATAGAAGGCTTTTTCCTCATGTAACGAAAAAGAAAGAAAAGAAGTCCAAAAATAAGGAAGATTTCAAGGCTGAAATTTACCAGCAAGTATCATTAATGTTACTGCAAATGTGGAGTTGCAGATTGCAATAGGATGACTAAGAAGAAGAACACAACTGAAAGGAGACGATTATGTTGAGAGAAGATTATGCCTTGAACTTAGTACTTTTCCATATCATGACATGAGAAATAACTTTTCTACCATGATCTGATTGATATGATTTTTTATGGTTTTCATCAATTTAATTTCTACCGTGACATCATATTTCTGGTCGTTCTATTGATCTGAAGCTGATCATGGTGATTTATGCAGGAACTGCATTTGCTTATGGACAGACGAGCAGTGGCAAGACCTTTACTATGAATGGTTCTGAGAATGATCCAGGAATTATACATCGGGCAGTGAAAGACATATTTTGTGAAATTCAGATGGTATCATCATTATTTATTTTGAGAACATTGTCATAATATTTTACCAGAAATGTGCTTACATTGAAGGACCTTTGAACATACTACTTGTGCTTTGATGTTCTCAGACAACTGACCGAGAGTTTCTAATTCGAGTTTCCTACATGGAAATTTATAATGAAGAAATTAATGACCTTTTTTCTGTAGAAAATCAGAAACTGCAAATTCATGAGAGTTTGGAGGTGAGCTTTGGGCAGATTACTTCGATACTTTTAATTTTGAATGTATGAGAATATTGATACTTCTTGTTTTCTAGCGTGGAGTATTTGTTGCAGGCCTTCGGGAGGAAATTGTGAGTAGTGCTGAACAAGTACTTAAGCTCATCCAATTGGGAGAAGGTTTGGCACTTGACAAAAATGGATCTCACCTTTGGCGTGCATGTTTGAAATGCTTATATACATTTGAAATCCCTTCTGACAGTTAACAGGCATTTTGGTGAGACAAACATGAATGTTCGAAGTAGTAGATCTCACACTATCTTTCGGATGGTATGCCCTCAAGTTTGGTGGGAATGCTGCTCCTACTGGATGCTGTTTCTTCAGTCTGTAAATATTAATGCTCTTTTTCCTCTAGATATGAAAATGCTAATGTTTCCCCTCTTCCTGATATACCAGGTAATTGAAAGCAAGGGAAAGGATACCAGTCCCAGTGATTGTTCAAGCTTAGACGATGTTATTCGTGTCTCTGTGTTGGTTTGTATTTCTTCTTAGAGTTGATCAACAGTTAATTACCAGAATCTAGGGGCATGTTTGGCTCAAGTTCTAGAAGTAATATGCTTTTTCAGAGTTGCAAAAAAAAAAAAAGAAAACAGGGATAAATTCTTTTTGTGTTGTTGAAAGCAGTTTTTAGAAAATTAACTCAAAAAGGAGCAGTTTTAAGGAAACATCAGCACGATGATTGCTGCATGATGTTTTTGTATTTACTATTTTTGAACAGTGAAACTCATTTCTTCAAATTAAAGCAAACATGTCCTTATTTTTCAACAGTTCTTATTTTTGTTTTAGTTGGTATCTCAGTCATTTACACATTTGGTTCTACTCCTATCTCTTTCTCTTTATAAATAGAATTTAGTAGACCTAGCTGGGTCCGAACGGATTGCTAAAACTGGAGCTGGGGGTGTTCGTTTGAAGGAAGGAAAGCACATCAACAAGAGCTTAATGGTTCTTGGAAATGTGATCAACAAATTAAGCGACTGTGCAAAGCAAAGGTACTTGCGTGCATGCAGTTGATGATTATTACAGCAATACAGTTATGTGCTTAACCTAAGGAGTTATTATGCAGAGGACACATACCCTATCGTGACAGTAAACTCACCCGCATACTCCAACCTGCTCTTGGTGGTAATGCCAAAACCTCAATAATTTGCACTGTAGCACCAGAAGAGGTAGGCTCTCACTTTTTTATAAAAGTACTTATTGCACTTTCAGTTGAGCTCAACATTTGGGATTCATTTTAGTACATGACTGATGTGTATAGGTTCATGTAGAGGAATCAAAGGGAACCCTTCAGTTTGCTAGCAGAGCTAAAAGAATTACCAACTGTGTTCAAGTGAATGAGGTTTGTTTTCTACCATGTTGAGTTCCATTCTCCAATTTTTGGTTTTGGTAAGATTCTGATTTTTCACCTTAATGTCTGTTTTGTTATACATAACCTTAATTGAACATAGTTTGCTTGAATATATACATTGACAGGTGTAGAGAGTACCATAGAAAGGATACAAATTAAGTGGTCTATCGGTTTTGATCACATATTATTATATGATACTGTGGGTAGCATATGGTTTTTCTTTGTATATAAAACGAGCTGTTTATATACATTGAAGGACTCACATTCAATTTCTGAATCGGAGCTGTATATATACACCTCGAGTTTCCATTATTAATGACTTTCCCTTTACTAGTGTCTGTGAGAATATATGTATTCTAAATGGCATGAACAGAATCTAAACCTAAGTGGATGGTTCCAAGCTTAAGTAATAAAATAACTGAGCAGTAGCTTAATGTTAAATGGATGATGTGTTGTGTTCTACATTTATTGGTTGATTGTATTTTGGTCTGTGTTGTCATTAAATCCTGATTCATTGGAAAACAGGAAACTGTTGAGACAGGCCAAAATTGAAAATTTTCTGAGAATTAATAGATATGCATTTAAGTAGTTTTTTTTTTTCTTCTCAAATTTTGCATTTAGCACATAATTTGAGGCATTAAAGATTTGTTTAAGTGTGGGCCTTATGGCCTCAAGGTCATGCTTGTTTATCTGTCTTTCTTTTTACGTGATGATATATATCAAGATGTCAAAAAATATTTTCATGACATTACCTTCAGATAGTTGCAAGATATCAAGCAAAGTGCATACTTGGACTTATCCGTTAGGATTGTTGTAAAACTGGTACTTTCTTCTCATGTAGCATTTTTCTGCTGGAAGTAGTGGTCAGATAATATCAGGCATATTTTTTCAAGCAGTTATGACTAGTTGGAGTTGATTCCTCAATCCTTTCTTTTAATTTGGTGATATTTGTAATTATAATTGAATTTGTTGTAGATAATAACAGATGCTGCGTTATTGAAGAGACAAAAACTAGAGATAGAGGAACTGCGTATGAAACTTCAGGTGATGATCATCCTGTATTGGATATACTCTTACAAGATCAGAATAAATTAGATGTGGTGAACCTGTTGTTTAGGGATCTCATGCTGAGGTATTGGAGCAAGAGATCTTCAAATTGCGGAATGACATGCTCAAGGTAGATTTTTTCCTCCATTATCATTACAGTTAGTGCCTTTATTATCTCCATAAGGCAAGTGAGCTGTTATCTTTTTTGCTGCATGCATTTATATACTCGTTTTCATGAGTCAGTATGAATTAGAGCGCGAGAAGCTTGCGATGGAACTTGAAGAGGAGAGGAAATCACACAAAGAGCGAGAGCAATGCATCAGGGAGCAGCAGTTGAGAATTGAGAACCTCAGCAGTCATGCCCCTTTTTTAGACTGTGATGGAAATTCTAACCAGGTAAAACTTGTGCAATGTAGTGGTTTTGTCTCTTTCTTCACTTTTCCATTTTTTTCAAATTATTTTTCTCTTTTGGTGACACCATGGTCCATGAGTAGTATATTACATTCATTTTGTTGAAGACACCATTGATTATTGCCATCTTAGTCCTTTTTTAATTGTTCAACTAAATGGAACTGTGTGTAAATAACCACTCCTTTATTGCCATATCTTCATTGGTTAGCCAGATATCAATTGGAACTTGGAAGTCACTGAATTACACCCACTGGTGTAATATGTGATTCGGAATTCAAGTTGCAAAACTTTGGTCTCTGCCACTTATATGTGTATCGTATCAAACATTGAGTTCTTACTGACACTGTATATTTCGGATCCTAATGATATTTTGCCTCTCTATGAAGTTGGCATAGTTGTATTGTGGTGGATATAGAGCAAATTCTAGTCCTTGATTAAATTGTAGTAATGAAAGATTCTTTCTTCTTATTCTTTGTTTTATAGTGTTTTCTAATTTGCTACATTAAAAAGGGTTTGGGTAAAATGCATGATATTAGATTGGTTGATTGAAACTCTGATAATTATTGATAGGGGCAGGAATTTTTAAATCAAGGCCTAAAGGAAGAATGCAATGACAGTCATAGCAGGTGCCAGGAAGATGTTTTTAAAACGCCTTGTTATAAGGCAGTCCCTAATGCCTTTGTTGTCAACCGATCACATTACTCTAGGAAAACTGAGTATAGCCCGCTTCCGGATACAATTTGCAATGTTGCTGATGAAGACACATGGTTGAGAATGAACAAAGGCTACATAGCCGACCTTGATTCACTTCATATCACCCCTGCAAGAAAAGTTGAATCCTTTCCGTCAAGTGAGGGAACTCCAGTAAGTTTAGTTTCCTTTCACTGATTCCTGTTTCCAGGTTTCATGCTATAGTGTCATTTATTCTTTTATTTATTTATTTGGTTGGTTGGCATTATTTTATTTGTAATATCTGTGTAGAAGTATGGTCAACTCTTTTATTTCACTAGTAGTATCATACATTTTTTTTACTTACACTGCAACAATATTGAAATATTTTGATTTCTAGGCTATTTTCCTTATTTAACACTTTTAAAACTGTCCATTGTTACATTGTCAATTCAAAAAAGAAGACACTAAATTGAGAATTTAATGCCATAGTCAAATGTTCAGGTGAATGATCTATACTTCTAATATGATCAAATATTAAATTTCTTATTTTTGCAGTTGAGTTTGATATGGATTTGAGATGTTCATTTTCCCAAGAATGTAAATGGACTCAATGGTGCAAAAAGAGACTGCGAATTCTTTGCTTTGACTTTCTTTGTTTCTTATTGCATATTGGACCGTTATAATTGTCAACTGATATTCTTGATTTGGTTCTTCTGGGAAAAAAACAACAGTTTTCTTGTAAACAATGCATTTGACGTAAGTGTTAAGGTGGACTGTACATAGAATTTCTTTTGTAATGGAGTGTGGTTATGGAAAATTCACATGCCTCTATTAATCGGTAATTTGTTAGTGCATAAAATTTGTGGACATATGTGTTGATCAAACTTTTTAATGCCTTTTTCAGGGTTGGTCAATTGAAAATTACAGGCAAGAGGTCCAAAGTCTCCAAAAACAACTGGAACATACTATTGAAGAAAGGGATGAACTTGAGGTTAGTATGCCACTATTTTCACCTAAAATGTCCCTGTTACTGCAATATTTCAGCTAGCGTTGTGATATACTATTAAAACCAACAACAGACTTGGGATCATTTGTAAACTTTTTTGTTTCCTATCAAAAGAAAATTCATAAACTATTCAGTGTTTCTCGGTTTCAAAGTTTTGGATGATAGGGATTGCCTTTTGTTTTGGTAAACAACAAAACTATATAAATCAACATAGAATCACAAAAATAGCACAAAGGTGGACAATAAGTCCTACCAGGAAGGAATGAAAGAGAAAGTACCATGGCATAGGATTTAAGTCTGTGATATGAACTAGCTGGCGGCTCTAGTGGAAGGATTCTTGGTCCTTCTGGAACATTTTGGTTTTAGTTACTATGATAACATCAAAGTAGAGTCTCACCTGTGTTCTTGATGTGGCAGAAAGAGTTTCCAGCGCAGTTTCTTTTCTGGAAGTTGCCACTTGGCATAGTAGTAGATGCTTTCGAATAAACAAATGACTGCAAGTCAGAACTGGGGAGCTTGTGCATACTGTTAAGAGTATTAGGGTAGTATATGTAACTTGTTAATAGTGTTAGGGTATTATGTGCAAATACAAGAGAGAGTGTGTGTGTAATTCTTGTTATGAGTTACCTATAAATACAAGTGATGTATGAGGGCTAGGTTAAGTTTTTGACATATCTCTATTTTTCTCTAATATTGTTAATCTTCTACACTTAACATGGTATCAGAGCATTCACGATCCTAAATATATTCTAAATAAATTAATTCTCCATTGTGGTGGTGGTGGTATTGTTGCTGTGGTGGTGGTGGTACTGTTAGTAAAAACCACTGTTGTGGTGGTGTCGTTGTTGTGGTGGTGGTGGTGTCGCTGCTGTTGTTGTGGTGTTGTGTCGCTAGTTATGGTGGCCTTCTCGCAGTCGTTTGGAGTTCGTTGTTGTCGTGGTGGGTTGTAGTGGTGGTGAGGCGCAGTCGAAGATTAGGGTTTACTGAAACCCTAATCAACGAAGAAGAAGTCTAGGAGAACTCCTCAGGTCTGGATCAGATCGGGTAAAATCAGGGTCCAACCCCACGATTCAGGCCGGTTTAGTAGTCCAAAGAGCCCAGTTGGTCCGGTTCAGTGGTCCAGTACTCTTTTCCAACCCGGTTCAATGGTCCAGAGGGTTCAACCTGTCTGGTTCAGTGATCTAGTACTCTTTTCTGGTCCAGTTCAATGGTTCAGTACTCTTTTCCAATCTGGTTCAGTGATCCAGCCCCTATTTCCAACCTAGTTCAGTGGTTCAGCCCCTATTTCTAGCCCGGTTTAGCCCTCCAACAATTCTAACTAGTCTGGTTCAGTGATCCAGCCCTCATTTCCAGTCCCGGTTCAGAATTGCAATATTTCTTCTTTGCTATTTGTTGCACTATTATGGAACCCAAGCAAAATACCACGTCCCTTACCGATTTGTTCAAGTCTTTTTTCGAGGTAAATGATTTAAGAAATATTTGGTGAATCCTAAACTTAAGGAAGACACTCCTGGGTATGATCAGTGGGAACAAGAGGATGCTCAAATTATCTCTTTATTGTTGAATAACATTGAGTCTAGTATTAGCTCTTCTCTGCTCTATCTTGATACTACCAAAGAGATATTGGATCACTTGACCACTATGTATTCTGGTTCAAGTAATTTTACCCGTGCGTATGAGGTGTGCAAGGAGTACTTTTGGTTGGAGCAGGGTACTCTGAGTCTTGCAGATTATTACTCTCATATTCAGGGAGACTGTGAGGAGATGAAGACCTATCATCCTTTTACTACTGATGCAGCAGTTTGGCAGAAGCAACATGAGGACCTGAATGTTGTTAGGTTTTTGGTAGGATTGAAACCTGAATATGAGGCTATTCATTTTTAGATTTTGGGTGGTTCTAGTATTCCATCACTGGTCAAGGTTTTCTCTCGTTTATAGCGTGCTACATTGTCTTCTCCTTCAGGCATTGATCATGGTGTCTTCACTGATTGCTCAGTTCTTGTGGTTTCTAGTAACCATAGTGATGGTCATCCAGGTGGACGTGGTAGCCGAGGAGGTCGTACGGGTGGTCGTGGGGGCCGTAGTGGATCCCGTTCTTGTACTCACTGTGATTGTGGAGGACACACTGTTGAATTCTGTTGGGATTTACATGGAAAATCTGCTAGTGTTGCTAATCAGGCTTCTTATCAAGATGATACCTCAGTTGTTGCTTCCATACCTCAGTCAGCTCTATTAGACATTGGGTTAGTTATTGTTACATTGGGTTGAGAGGAGTATGCCCAGTTTCTGTCCCAGCAACAGACTGTTCCATCTCCCTCCACTGTTACTTTTTTCCAATCAGGTATTGCTTCCACTTGTTTATTGTTCTCTACTCATAGTCCCTGGATCATAAACTCTGGTACTTCTGATCACATGACTGGTGCGTCTGATGTCTTTTCTACTTATCAGTCTGTTACTTCCACATGTAGTGTTACTCTTGCTAATGGTACCTGTTCTAAAGTTTTAGGTCTGGGGACTACTCACTTGAGTCCTGATGTATTCCTATCATCTGTGTTATTTGTTCCTCAGTTTCCTTTTAGTTTACTTTCTATTAGTACGATTACCCGTTCTCTTAATTGTTCTGTAATCTTTTATCTCTCTTATTGTGTCTTTCAGGATCTCAAGACGAAGAGGAAGATTGGTACGGGGCATGAAGCTGGTGGCCTATATTACTTTGATTTTGATTCATCTACTCGGGCTCTACAGACCTCGTTGTCTCCTTTTCAATGACATTGTCGCCTTGGACATCCCTTTCTCCAGAATCTAAAGCGCCAAGTTCCCAGTCTTAGTTGTGTGTCATCTTTGTCTTGTAAAACTTGTCAACTTAGTAAGCATCACCGTATGTCATTTCAGTCCAGAGTCAATAATCGTGTGTCTAGTCTATTTGAGTTGGTATATTCTGATGTATGGGCTCCAATAAAGAATATTTCATCTAATAAATATCCTTATTTTGTGTCTTTTGTGGATGATCATTCTCGTGTGACTTGATTGTTTTTTATGAAAGCTCGGTCTGAATTATTCTCTATATTTGAGACCTTTCGTAAGAAAATAAAAACTTAGTATGGTTGTCGTATACGTATTTTACGTTCTGATAATGCTCGGAAATATGAATCTGATCCTTTTTCTGCTTATCTTAGTAAAACTGACATTATTCATCAGACTTCCTGTGCTTACACATCTCCACAGAACGGTGTTGCTGAACACAAAAATTGTCGTTTATTGGAAGTCACCTGTGCCTTGTTATTCCAGATGAATATTCCTTGATATTTTTGGAGTGATGCTGTCCTCACTGCTTGTCACCTTATTAATCGTATGCCATCCTCTGTGTTAAATGGGCAAAATCCATATTCTGTCATTTTTCCTAGTAAGCCTTTATTTTCCTTACCTCTTAAGATTTTTGAATGTGTTTGTTATGTTCACAATTTGGGTCTTGGGTTTGATAAACTTGATCCTCGAGCTACCAAATGTGTATTTCTTGGTTATTCCCGCACACAGAAGGGATATCGTTGTTACAGTCCTTCTCTGCAGCGATACTTTACTAGTGTTGATGTCACATTTGAGGAATCTGTTCCATATTTTTCAGCACCTTTTCAGCCTTTGGATCTAGACTTTGGGTCACCTCTTGTACCACCATCTCTTCCTTCATCTTCAGTTGCCTACTGTGCTACTGTCTATTTTACCTCTTCGTGTATACTCTCGTCATCCTCGATCATCGACTGAGGTGTCTGTACTGTTTTCCTTGCCGCCTTCTGATTCTGGCCCATAAGGTAATCTAGACTCTTTACCTATTGCTCTTCAAAAAGGTACTCATTCATGTGTTGCTAATTATCCCATTGCTCATTTTGTTTCATATAATGCCTTATCTCCTATTTTCTTTTGTATTACCTCTCAATTATCTATTATATTTATCCCTAAGCATTTACAGGATGTATTATTTGATCCGGTTGGAGAAAAGCTATGGAGGATGAGATGGGTGCCTTACATCATAATGAGACTTAGAATCTTGTTCCTTTATCCCTTGGTAAACGAACTATTGGTTGTCTTTGGGTGTATACTGTTAAATTTCATTCGGATAGTTCTGTGGAGCGTCTTAAATCCCGGCTTGTTGCAAAAGGTTTTACTCAGACCTATGGTGTTGATTATGAGGAGACTTTCTCTCCTATTGCCAAAATTTTCTCTATTTGTATCTTGATTTCTTTGGCTGCTAATCTTGATTGACTCTAGTTTCAGTTAGACTTCAAGAATGCCTTTCTCCATGGTGACTTGGTTGAAGAGGTATACATGGAGCAGCCAACTGGGTTTACTGCTCAGGGAGAGTATGGTAAAAGTGTATGTCGGCTAAAGAAATCTTTGTATGATTTGAAACAGTTATCGAGGGCATGGTTTGGTAAGTTTTCAGATGCAGTTTTAAAGTTTGGTTTTCTTCGATGTTAGACAGACCATTCTGTGTTCCATAGACGGACGAATGCTGAATATGTTCTATTGGTGATCTATGTAGATAACATTGTAATTACTGGAAATGATTTTGAGGGGATTGTTAAGTTAAAAATTTTCTGGCAAGATTAATTTCATACTAAGGATTTGAGAAAACTCTGGTATTTCTTGGGAATTGAAGTGACTCGATCTATACAAGGTATTTATTTATCACAGAGGAAATATGTACTTGACATGTTAGAGGAAACAAGTTTGTTGGGTGGCAGACCGATTGATGTTCCTATGGATCCAAATAAAAAACTATTGATAGATGATGGTGTACTGTTTGAGAATTCGGGTCGGTATCGCAGATTGGTTGGGAAGCTTAATTATCTCACTATTACTCGATCGGATATTTCTTATGTAGTCAGTATAGTAAGTCAGTTCATGGGGTCTCCTAGAGTACCACATTGGGAGGCAATTACTCGTATTCTCCGATATCTTAAACGAGCTCTTGGACTTGAATTGTTATATAGAGCTAATGGACATCTTAGAGTGGAAGATTTTTCAGATGCTGATTGGGTTAGCTCTCCTTCTGATCAGAGATCAACTACTGCTTATTGTACTTTCTTAGGAGGTAACGTTGTTTCATGGAAAAGTAAGAAACAATCTGTGGTAGCAAGATCCAGTGCTGAGGCTGAGTATAGGGCAATGGCGCATACGACGAGTGAAGTGACTTGGTTACTGCACTTTTTCCAGGAAATTGAGTTTCTAGTTCAACCTCTTTTACAGTTGTTCTGTGACAACCAGATAGCTATCTATATTGCTGCCAATTCGGTATTTCACGAGAGAACCAAATATATAGAGGTTGATTGTCACTTTATTTGGGACAAGATAGTAGCCGGGGAGATTACGACTCCATTTGTGAAATCTGAAGATCAGCTTGCAGATATGTTTATCAAAGCATTGAGTCGTACACGTCTTACAGAGATTTGTTCCAAGTTTGGATTATATAATATATATAGTCCAGCTTG